TGAGAGTTTATGCAAAGTTTAAAGGGACCTTGCAACACATTTAGAACGCCGTCGGAAAACGGTGTTCATCTGTAATCGAAGCAACTCACAGTGCGAGCTAAACTTCGTGGCACTACATGCGGCACGGGAACTCACATTTACATTTTCAAAAGTAGCGAGAAATCTTTCGTTCTTCTATCGTCAAATTCCGTCATCGTCAGACCTGACTACGTAAGTAAATTATCGAATCGGCCTGCTTATTATTCTATTAATAAACAGCTATCCTGTGTCTTTCCCTCCGACTACGTCACCGGAAGGGAAGACACGACCATTGGCTGACATGATGATCGCGAGGACGTTCTCAAGGTCATGATGCGCGCTGACGCAGCTCCTTCCCTTCTTGTCATCGCGCTCTGTCTATAGCTTCCATGGAGCGGTCTCGTCGGAACGAAAGGGCAGAAAAAGGATTAAAGCGTACGACGAGTCGCTACGAATTAGCTCGTGTTTCACCCATTTAAAATAACGCGATAATAATTTCAAAATGCAGAGGACACCGATAATGAAATGATGCGATTAATTATTGGAAACGTGTGGTAGATACTCTAACAAAATAGTATTGGTGGGCGCAGAGCATGCCGCACGATGACACAGTCTGACAGCAGTAAGAATTTCCATGTTCAACGTGAACCACATCTAAGCTCTTGCCGACATAGATAGTCATCAAACCAAAATGAAGCATGAACAGTGCCAAGAATTCCGGCCAAATTGACCAATTTCTTCTTCCTTGCTATTGGCCGGCAGCTGTCACTAACCATATGCTTAGCAACATGACAGGCTCAAATTTTCTGTCGCAAGAAGTTCGAGCGTAGGGTGCTTTTTGTGGATTCGTGCCCTAATTGCTTCCGGGACCAAACATTGGTAATGTGCTCGCAGTAGTGAGGGTGCGTTCAAGTGTCACGAGGCATTCAGCGAAGCAATCAACGGCCTTTTCTTTGTAGCAATTGTTCCAACAAGGGCGCACGTACAGGTCAATACCACGTCGAAACGTCCGCTTCGCAGAAATACCCATTCAGTCCGTTGTTGTGTTTATCTCCGTGCGTATACCTCGATATTTACATGTGACGCCCACCAGTCACTGAGCAATTAATTTAATATATGCATGTTGTTGATGCCAATGTGTTAGTAATATATATATATATATATATATATATATATATATATATATATATATATATATATATATATATATATATATATATATGCAGAGTCGCCGATGCCCCGAGCTAACAAGCAAATGATTATCATAAAAAAAAATACCCGTCCGCGCCCCCCCCTCCCCCCCCCCCCAAAAAAAAAGCGGTGCTATTTTCGCAAAAACCAAGCGGAAATTAAAAGCATTCTCCTATTCCTGGAAATATTTCTATTATAATGAAAGTATATAATATAGTTTAGACAATCGTGTAAATGTTTTTTTCACATAAAAAATCTCCGCAACTATGAACGAAAGGACAGACAGACGGACGAGCGGGCGGGCGGGCGGGCGGGCGGACGGGCTGGCGGGTGGACGGACGGACGGACGGACGGACGGACGGACGGACGGACGGACGGATAGACAGACAGACAGACAGACAGACAGACAGACAGACAGACAGACAGACAGACAGACAGACAGGACAGACAGACAGACAGACAGACAGACGGGCGGACAGACAGACCAACAGACATAAAGAAATAAAGAAAGAGAGAAATAAAGAAAGAAAGAAAGAGAGAAAGAAAGGAAGAAATAAAGAATGAAATAAATAAAAAAATAAAGATTGAAATAAATTAAGAAATAAATAAATCGGTAATGAAGCCCTGAAGGACAAGCCGGAAGGATCCGCTTGGGCCCTCGGCTCGCCGCTTGCTGCTCCCATGTCAGAATCGGGAGTATGGTTGCTTGCCGGACTAGTTGGTTAATTATATGTGTCATGGTTGTTATATCTGCTGGAATTGAGAGATCATTTCTCTTCGCTCTTTCACAAGCCCTCTGGATGGCCGTTGATCGGGTTTGCCTAGATTAAGCATTGTCTCCGTGCTAGTCTCCGTTAGGTTAGACTACCCTGGAGATGTTTGCCAATGCATTATTAACGTTACTTTTTCATTTCCCAATGCATGTTTTGACTCCAAAACTCAACCACCGAAGGTCATTGACAAACCAGCTTAGCGAACGATAGGTGCGCTAAATTGGCGAGTGTGATGATCACCTAAGCTATATCATTTGCTGGGACAATGCAAATAATCCCTCACAAGGACGCGGCAAGCGACTGGAAAATTCCGCAAGTGACTCGGCGAAGAAATAAACCCAGATCTACTCATTACACGCGGAACGGGCAACTCTAGCTGTCGCGATGGCTGAAAGCGAACTCGCTGCTAAGCTGCAGAGCACTGCTCGCGCTCGTCTTTAGTGTCCTTAGGCACTTTCCCGTAGCCCATCTTTCCTTCTATGTAGGTATACAGTGATATTACTAGAAAAAAATAACGTTTTAAAGAAACAAGAAAAATGAAAAAGAAAAATTGAACGAGAAGTTACGCCAAGTGCCGCTGTCGTCTTGCTTCTTATCGTTGCGTCGGGATCTCGCTGAAGAGCTGGCCTCTTTTCGTCATTTTAATTAACCCCAGCGAAGACGACTCCTAATGGGCTTCCTCGATCCCTTCATATTGTCCGCCGCCAGGCAGGCTGGTCGGTGTCTCCTTATGCCGCGTTATGCACTCCACGCCCAGCTGGTTCTTTCTTTCTTTCTTTCTTTCTTTCTTTCTTTCTTTCTTTCTTTCTTTCTTTCTTTCTTTCTTTCTTTCTTTCTTTCTTTCTTTCTTTCTTTCCTTCTTTGTTTCTTTCTTTCTTTCTTTTTTTCTTTCGTTCTTTCTTTATTTCCTTCTTTCTGTCTGTCTTTCTTTCTCTCCTTCTTTCCTTCTTCCTCTATTCCTTTCTCTTTCTTTCTTTCTTTCTTTCTTTCTTTCTTTCTTTCTTTCTTTCTTTCTTTCTGTGTACGTGTTGCCGCACACCAAGACCACACCTTTCAGCCCACTTTCTCTGCCGAGTGAAAACAGAATGGAGTGAAGTCTACAACGGCAATGTGAAATTTTCTTCGTCTTTCTTCTCCTCTTCCTAATTTTTTTTTCCTTCTTCATCGTCGTTACCTTCTCTCTCTCTCTTTTTAATCACTGAGTAATCTTCTTCTGACAGAGCAATCCACCTCTGTAGTAGCGATAAAAACTAACAGCGCACAAATTTGAACAAACCAGAGGGTTCACACACGCTCGCTCGGACCAATGTCTACGTCTTGGGCACTTTCATTTTCTATCAAGTCTTACCAACATGCCCAAGTAGTAACTTTAGTAAGCCTGTGTGGCGTATTTTATTTTGTCGTTAATTGCTGTGTGGTTGCACAAGTTTCCTAATTCCATTATTTTAATCTTTTTTACCGATTACATTTGAAGTACACTTCCAGGATGTTTGGAATCTCGCTAAAGATTTCTCATTAAGTCTCGCACGTGGGCCAACCTTCTCTCTTAGCGCTGTTCTATAGTAAAGTCAACCTGAACATATGTTTAATTTGTGAAATTATCACCATGAACTTTAACCTTTTTTTTTATGGACTCTTCAGAGATCGGAGCAGTCGTGCACATGTGCTTCCGTGTTCTTGCAGCTTTACTCTGTTTATTTTCATGCATACAACAGCATGCGAATCATAAAACACTCTAATGCGAAAGCCTGAAGCAATATTTTCCTTTCTATCTAGTGAATTGCCGTAGTTTTTTTTCTCTTCCTTATTTTAACGCGTACTCATCATTCGGCATGTTTGTTGTTACCAAGCCTCAAGTACGTCAGCTGCCCACCACGTGCGTAAGCAAAGTGCATGCATGTCTTATCATTGTGTTCCGCGTGCTCCATGATTCGATTAAACGCTCCCTCTCCCCCTCTGCGCTTGGCGAATGTTAATATACAAGTTTACTGAACCGAGAAATTTTGGACCGTTGACCCCCAGGATCCTCGCATGACACCTGTCTTCTGCGCTTTCACTAGTTTGTGGAGTTGCATGTTCTTAAAGACATCTTTGTAACCTCCATATTCACGAATCACCACGTCTCTCATTTTATTGTTAAAGGGACACTAAAGATGGATATTAGGTTAACGTTCATTGTTGAAATAGTGGTCCAGAAACTTCTTACTGTTACTTCTGTGCCAAGAAAGTGCTTATTTTGAAAGAAAATCGCGTTTTGTCTGTTCGCATCGGGTTACCGCACTTCAAATCACCCGCCTGAAAGTTGTCTTTCTCACGTCACTGTTGTCGTGCTCAACGTTGCGCGACTTTACAGCGCAGCCGCCGACCCTAGCAGGAGCAGAGCGAAAGTAGCGGGAGCAACAGCAGCAACAATGGCCATGGAACCATTTTTTGTTCTGCTTGATTGGTTCAATTGAGCCCCGCTAAGTGGCACCTCATGTCCAGCCTACCAATTAAGGCGAAAACGGAGCTTTCCAACCACTTGCGCAATTCTTCATTTTAACGCCCGAAAGTTCTTTTTTCTATAATTCAGACAGAAAAGGAGAAGCAGCATTTTATTACGTCTCCTAGTTCAAGAAAGATTCTTTTTTATTGTATGTAGTTTGACTATTAGCAATTAATTGTAGTCGAACACTCCCTCGGCATAGGGATCATTTCGAAAATGCCCCACTCGTGGCGTACGTACCAGTGAAGTAACGACTACAACAAACATGTTCTGAATTCCCTCTAAGCATATATATGCATCTCAATGTGTTTATATTCGGTTTGGTCGTGCATACGATAAATCTAATGATCATGACGATTCGTATCTGCTTTTATTCTTGGTTGATAGCGCTGGTGTTGATCAAGGAGGAAATTTTTTTGATCCTCCTTGGTGTTGATGTGACGAGTAAAGTATCATTATCCACGCTATGTTGACTGTTCGGTCGATGTTTTTTTTTTTTTTTTTGGTGACCAGCTGCTTTTCTATTGCTCACAGGGGGGCGCGTACTTCTGCCGGCTCCATAAAAGGCTGGCATTTTCGTGGAGCTTCGCAGCAGGTAAGGTTTTACGCTGCTTTTTCAACGTCATATTGTAGCGTTACTGGACGTGTCGCCCAGTCGACACGTGCATAAGTTGAGTTTCACGAGCAAGCGAGAAAAATATGTCAGGTGTGCACACTGGAAAACGACTGCTTGGCCATCATCCTTGCGCCGTGCGCTGTAAATACATCTTTAACAATATATTACCAGCTGCCTCTCTACATTTCTTTTCTGTCTCTTTATACTCTCCTTAGGTATCTGTAGATAGCAAAAGCGTACGCTGGAAAAAGAAAAAAAAGGGGGGGGCAGTAGTACGTTGTCGTCTTGTTTGATTACTGCTTAAAGCATACAGTATTCGCTATTCTGATGCTTCGTCCAACCACTGAAAGCCCCTGTCTGCCTTGTTTGTCTCGGTCTTCTCTTTGTTTTTTTCAATTTATTCCGACAAACATTGAAAGAAAGATGGTTTCTATGCTGTGCTATATCAGTCCTTGCGTCTTTCTAGACTTTTTTTTTTCTTGAATCCCGTCACTGCTCGCGCGCACTTCGTTAAATATTTCAGGTGTGCGCCATCGGTTGAACCTCGACGCGCTTTTAGCTGTGCGTACTGGCCGCCTTGCTGTATTAACTTATTTCTCGCACATCGCAATTTTAACGTTCCCACTATATTTCTTGTCCTTGTTTTTGCGAACTCTGGAAAGAATGCACGTGCCGTTATTTGTAGCGTCTATAGTAAAACGCGGATGGTGACGACATGCTACACTATAAAGCTAGAGCAGCGAAGTTAGGGTGATGTAACCTTTCGATGTAGCATATACGTAGTTCTATTTTATTTTATTCGAAGAGCTCAGCTATGTACACTGAGATCCACGGGAAAGACGATGTGCACTTTCGAGGATGAAGTGTGGCGCTGTTGCTACGGAAGTTCGTCAAGGCTTCGCCAGACGGGGCACGCAGGTGCGCAGAGTCGAAGAAAAAAAAAGAGGAGAAACAGAGACAGACAGGAAAGGAAACTAAAATTGGTTTGGAAATTAGAAAAAAAAACGAACTTAGCCGTAGAGTTGGTGCTCTTGCTTGTCGTTTTTGTTCCAGGGCCTCTGAAACTGAAATCGACCTATCTTCCTATCTTTTCTTTTTTAAATCTTTTTGATGACGTTCTTGTAGCCGTTAGACGGTTACGGTTCTAGTTTACAGTTACAAGCAAGACACACACACACACACACACACACACACACACACACACACACATATATATATATATATATATATATATATATATATATATATATATATATATATATATATATATATATATATATATATATATATATATAGCAACAAACTGGGTGAACCTCGGATTCAAAAAAGGATCGTTTTTCCGGATGACCAACCTGTTTCCCGAAGTCCGCTTCCTATGTCTATTTTTTATTTTTCTTTGTTACGTCGTTTTCTTTTTATTCAGCCTGTTCTGCCACGTGTGTAGCGAATTTCCGGAACGTGGCAGCGGAGCCGGTATACCCCATCTTTCAATAAAAGGGATGGTACAATGTGCAGGCATTACATGTTTCTACGACTCGTTTCGATTAAAGGACACGTGTATTTCATAATGGAAGACGTCGTCAGTGAAAGCTTTCGATCGGGAAAATCACGGTGCGTTGCCCATACCTGTCAACAACGTACGAAACTGTCAACGCTATCGATTTCAGCCGCCCTCGTGTTTCAGCAAGGTTATTTGCGCAAGACGTAACGTTGATGGTCTTATGTATACTGTGTTATACTTATACGCAGCTCGATATATAGCGGCGAGCTTGACATATGCAAACCGAGAACAACACAACTTCGCCGCACTGTCCTAAAACTCCGCAAAAGGTGTTAGCGAAATGTAACGTTTTGCACGCACTCGCCCGAACAGAGCTAAGCCCAATCAATCGAATGACAAAGGGGAATTTTAGAAGGGTGTACGCAAAGATAGCGTTCTCGGCGCACGCACGCTATTTCTGTAACACTACGCGGGTACCCCAGAGTATTGCGTGTGACGCACGCGCAGTGGCGACAAATGCAAATCTTGGCGTGCGTAATAGGCTGCTTTATAATAGGGTACGGAAAACTTTACGTTAGTGTTTGTCGCCACCACGCATACGTCATTTACGCTATCATCTTGTGTACGTACGTAAAGCTACGGAAATAGCGTGTGTATGCAAATAACGCTATTTTTGCGCACCCAATTCTAAAACTGCCCAACGCTTTCCAGGCGTTGCTGCACGCAAGAAGCTTGATCACGGAAGCCCGGAACGGAGCACAAATGGCAAAGATCGAGCACGTAGAGTCTTTATAGGACGTGTTTTTTCCGAACGGGGCAAGGCTCCCCTCAAAACTAATGATTCGGAGACACGCAAAGTCTCCTATATGAACAAGATAAGCGATTCCTTCTTTGGGTCGGCACACGCGATCAGGCGCCACTGGCGGTATATGAAAAAAATGCTTAAATGTCCGGTTCCCTACGTCAATGTATTCCGTACGTCCAACGCATTTCCTTCGTGTTGCTGCCGCACGCGCGGCCCGCAAAATGACGACCCGGGATCGCGTGTATTCACTTCCGTAGCCAATTACGAGCGAGATCGTACGCGAGGCCCGCCGCATGTGTACTATACCCGCAATACACATACAGGTAACCCACGCGTTTTCGCGCCAGGAAGTGAGCACGGTCGCGACGCCGTAATTGCTCCACACGACGGTCTGGGCGCCATCTAAAAGGCAACACCCCGTCGAGGGCGGCCAATGTGTGGCGGCTCGGTGCGCGTACTGTACACGCCGTCGACGCTAGGGTGCGTCCCCGACGCATTAGTCACTGCGCCTATTTCCATCGCTTGCATACGCAGCAGTCACTCTGTGGCGAATCGGCGACGTCGTCTCGCGAGGGAACGGGGCTGCAGCACTGTCGAAGCTGGAGATGCGGGATCGCCTATGGTCGTGACAGATGACGTCGCTGGCACAGTGTATAAGGTGTCACACGTTCTACACCTACAGAAGATGACAAGGAGTGCCGCCCTGTCCGGCGTGCGTGCTGTCCTCCATCTTGGTTAGAAGAATGTCTCCAGGGCATGGCAAGAAAACGTGTTACTGATGCGCGTACAAAGAAGATATGCAACTTGCAACCATTGCGTGTGTTAGTAGTAGTAGTCGTAGTAGTCGTAGTAGTCGTAGTAGTCGTAGTAGTCGTAGTAGTAGTAGTAGTAGTAGTAGTAGTAGTAGCAACGGTGGGGGCAGTGGTGGTAGTAGTAGCTGCATAGCAATGGGCTAGTAGTAGCAGCAGTAGTATTAGTGGCACTGTTAGTGTTAGTATTTTAGTAGCAGTATACCTAGTAGTAGTGGCAGTTATAGGTTTCGGTATACGTGCACATTAAACTTGTGATGAGGCGAAAGTGCGGAAAATAAAGAAATTTGTTCGCTATGCTCATGTTAGAGATGAACTGTCGCCACACCAGAGTTCCTCGCCTCCTCCGTTGATCGCAGCTAGAACAAAAATAAGGTTTAGTCTCTCTCTCTCTCTCTTGTCTATTGTGAAATTTTAGCAAGAAGACACATGTGGGCGTGTGGGTGTGTCTATGTCTACACCCACGTGGTTACTGCTGGCCTCACCTAACCATTCGCGATGTCTAAGGCCCATTCTATTTTCTTCCACATGCTATCAGTTATACCTACATACAAGAATATTCTCTTGCCAGTCTTGATACTTTTCGGCCACTGCACCTTACTAATCGGTGAGTATAGGCGAAAGGAAAAGTTCGCTTAGTTTTGTGAGCGCTAAGCCCGAAGGCAAAAGTGCATATCCTTCGTTATCCTTTAAACAGCTACGCCGCTGTACAACCGCCGGGCTATGAAGCAATGCCTAGACGACCGCAGTTTCTAAATTTACGCGCGAGAAACCCACGCGCCTGATGTGGAGTAATTCCTTACTTGATACTGTGATGAAACAGACGGGTAGGTAAACGTATGTCACACCGAATTTCGTCATTTTTTTTCCTGCTCGTCTAAGCGCTGAATCACGTGGCGCAGACTACATGTGGACTGTTGCTTATTCGGGAATGCCCTTATGCAGAGCTCCATAAGAAATGAGCTCATGCTTGGCTGGTAGAAATCTCGTGCTGTAGCTTCGTATGCTCTAATGGGAGAGCGCAGATGCTTGCACTCACCAATAAGAAACCATCGTACTCTGACACTGCGGTGAGTGCCCAGACTCCATTTATAGTAAAATTCATTTTATTCGACAGTGTATGCACATTGCAACCACGTTAAAGCGTCTTAGTCACTTCAACGTTTTCATATGCCAACTCTCAACAAAAACTAGTTATATAGTAAACGCAGCGCACAACTACCGCGGCAGAGACGTGCTGAGTTTAATCTGACAAGGGATCAAGGCATTCGCAAAGCTGATAATGGTTACTTTTCCACAACCGACCAGTTAGAGTAAGGAATGGCTGTTCATCACACGAAGCCTTTCGCTTTGCTCTCAATGCCTCTTATCCGTAATCGCGTGAACCGCAGTTAAAATTTACAGCCAAATATCTGAGACCATGGACATGCTAGAATAATTCGTTCAAATAGAGCTGTGAAGAAAGGCGTCTGCCTCCCGCTTTTCAATACAAACACTTCCGCTTACTACAGCCACTAAAAGTTTCTATCTAATCTGAGCTAATCTCGTTGCTCACAGCGCTGATTATAACGTCACCTTGTATATGTAAATCGTTAACTTGTGGCTTACACCCACCATGGGGAATGGGCCAAGAATCGGGTAGCTTAAGAAAAAGGAATATATATATTTAAATACTAGCCAAAGGAATAATAACAGAAATATCAATTTTTTGTTAATTATTCCTGACGAAAAATTTGGATGAATTAGTTGCTACGGTAGGAGCAATAAATGATTGATATCAAAGCAAATTTTTCGGTAGTTTACATTGGTTAACTGAGAACCTTTTGGAATTGAGGTTATTGAGTAAATCTCTTTGACTGTTCAA